AAGAATAGATTAGATTTACATACGAAGAAGCTAAAAGAAAACATCACACAAGGGCCAATATAAGCAAGAAAGACTAATCAGCTTAGCAAACTTTGCCAACCTCTTTGCACATGCACCATAAACATGGTATCAGAGTCTCACATGATCACGCCGAGCCCATTGTCTGAAATTAAATCAATTTTGATACGGCATATGGAGGCCCTGTTTGTAATCCAAGCTTTAAGCCCAAAGGACTTTCACTTGAAGGGATTTGCTGCCAGTTTAATCCATTGTAGTAGTGGAACATAACATAGCACAAAAGTTGTGCTTTAATACTCTGGTTTTTCAGTGTATAGCAATTTCATTTCCTACTCTCAATGGCTGCATTCAAAGTGCATTTATGCATGCATATTGCTTATGTGTTATAAAGTTGGGGCTCATTTTAAAGGATCTTAGAAGTTAGGTTGGTATCAGGCCTTTCCCCCTTTTCTTTCATCCCTTCTCCTCTATGACTCTTGCCAATGAAAATAAAAAGAAGTTGTCATCATAACAGTTTTTCTGGTGTCTCCTTGGGATTTTTCTAAGTTAAGAGAAAGAAGTAACGTATTAAATTTGGCTCAGCATTTTTTGCTTTCTCACAAATTTCGTAATTACTTTTCAATGATACACAGAAGAGAAAATTGGCTGACATGTTAGGACCAAAATGGAGTAAGGAGGAGCTTGAGCGTTTCTATGATGCTTACCGTAAATATGGGAAAGACTGGAAGAAGGTTAGTTTAGTTTTTCAGTGATGAGGTGCTAGTTATTAAATCAGGTTGGAATGAAAGGTGGAATTTTTGTTTACTATAAAAGCGGTATGCCTGCACTTGACATTGCCTAATTGCATGTAAAGTTGCTGGCTCAAGCATGTATCTAATGATTTTTTTTTTTTTTAATAAAATTAGAGGGACAGGCAAAAATGGCCTGAGATACAACCTCCCACCTACGGAGGAGGTTTTATGCCAGGAGGCTACAAAGCCATTGGCATGTATCTAGCTGTGTGAATCTACCTTTTTCAGCAAACTATCATTGTCTGACATTCTGTCCTGTACCAAAAATTTTCTCCTTTGCTTACAGGTGGCTGCTGCAGTGTATCATAGGTCTTTGGAAATGGTAGAAGCTCTGTACTCTATGAATCGAGTAGGTGCAGCAATATTCTAGACATGCTGATTAACTTGTACACATTGCTAAATGCATATCACACCGACACTGATTCTAAAACATACCACGCAGTCACATATAGAAGCTGATTAAGAAGTCTTGGCCTTGGTTTGTGTAAATTTATCTTCCCAAAATAATCATATGAAATAGGAAATAAATTAGCAGATGAAATTGAATATTTCTATTTCTTTGTTTCTTAAAATCAGAGTAGTAATACTTTTTTCATTTTAATATTTTTTGTTACTAATTAGTAGTTACGTTTTATCTCATATATTATGCCTCTGGCTTGTTATTCTTTCTTTTCTTCTCCTATCCTAAAGTTTATGGGTTGATTAAAACAAAAAAGGTCTAATTGCTGGCAACCAGCTCATAGATGCAATTATTGCAAACAAACGAAGTAGTTAATGATGTGCAAGGAAATATTGCTTCAAGCGAACCTTCATTATGATAAAGGAATCCTCCCTGTTGCGCTTTTTGTGGACAAAAATTGTTTCATTTTTCAATTAAGTTTCACTAGTTTGTGTTATTTGGTGATGCATAATATCACATTTTGATATACTGGGTTTTGCTTAATTTGTATATTGTTTTGAAACCAAGATTGTTCTGGGTTTATTTTCAGGCATACTTGTCTCTTCCAGAGGGCACTGCTTCTGTAGTTGGACTCATAGCAATGATGACCGATCACTATAGTGTACTGGTAAGATTGAATTTCAACTTAAAGCTACATTGAATATTTACTCGGGCATTACTTTTTCTGTAACATTCTTGTGGTTGGTTTGAGGTTCTGTTTCCTAATTGACCTTGCCTCCAGCTATGATATAGGTGATTCTCTCACCCTTTATTTCAGTTCTTTTCACATGTTCTTTGTTTCCTCTAGTATTTTTAATATACGAGGATTGCCTTTTACTTAATAATAATTGTATAGGGTTATTGTCCAGTCAGCTCACTGATCTGTAAGCCCTCCCATACCATGATAAACAAATCACTCATGAGATCATAAATTGTATTGCTAGTGCTGTTACTTTTAGAAATAATTGTGTACTTTATAAAAGGCTTGGGATTTGCAAAGGGTAATGACTAAATTTTGGAAACGATAAAATGCAAATATAATATGAATGTTTTAATTGGCAGGGAGGAAGTGATAGTGGACAAGAAACCAACGAAGATACGGAAAAATTTAAAAAGCCTCCAAAATTTTCGCAGCAGAAATGTTCATATGGGAACTATAAAGCATCAGATGGAGATTTTTCAGATCATTCTCAGTCACATTCAATTACATCAGGTGACGGCTGCCTGTCATTGTTGAAGAAGAGGCATTCTGGTGGGTTGATATTCTGAATGCATATGAAGATTACTTTGATTCCATTCTCTTCTCTCTTGCTTCAGCTTGTGTTTGTTTTTAAAACATCAATTCTTACATTAAGATTGAGGAACTTTGAATAATGTTTCCTCCTGCTGGAAACATGTCGCACATACACTGGCACAAATTTTCTTCTGTTAGCCCCTTCAATTCTGGAAAGACTACATCTCTCTTAATTTTAAGGAGTGTCTAATGTCTATTTTTATATTTAAAAGGGACTTCTATCAATGTTCTTATCTAATGATTTATTGTTATTTGGGATTTTGTTTTAAGGTTTAAGTTCTCACGCTGTTCGGAAAAGGACTCCCCGTGTCCCTGTTTCACATTCCATTCATAAGGATATGGGCAGAAAGTGTTTTTCACCTGCTAGGCAAGGTTACAGGCAAATGGTTGACAGTAATGATGTTGCTCATAAAATTGCTTTAGCACTGACGGAGGCTTTACAAATAGGTGATCCTTCCAAAGTTTCGGACTCAACAAACAATAAATCTAAGGGTATTATGTCATCACCCTGTCAGAATAATGGGAGGAAGGTATGTAGTTTGTCCGCTTGTATTGTCTGATATTTTTTTAAGATGAACTAATAACTCTGGACAACTATGGTTTTTCAGAACACTAAATCGGAAGTAGCAGGATCCAAATTTTGCCATTTTGACTTGAACGATGGTAGCCCTGAATTAAGTTTAGGAAGCACAGGGTGCGGCAGTGGAGATTATTCTTCGAAACTGAGTCAACAGAGCAGCAGAGGAAGAGCTAGAAGAGGAAAAAATGAAGAAAAGGGAACAAAATACTACAGAAAAAAGTTAGAACTTGGAGAAAATGCGAATAAGCATTGGGATGGTTTAAAGGAAGCTTCTAGTGGGACAGACGAAGATAAAGGACTGGATTTAACCAAGGATAAAATTGAAATTAAATTTGCAGCCACAAAAGGTACTAGGTCCTCCTTCAAGAGTCTCAGGAAGAAAAGTGAAAAAGTACTGCTTGAAAAAGAAGGTAAGCTTATTTCTTTTGTAATAAAAAAGGTATTTTTGTGGTTCCAATAATTTCCTTCACTAAGTTCCCTTTTGTAGCTGTTAAGTAGGCTTGTTATTTCGAACTTGAATTCTGTTAAATTCTGCTCAGAGCATGTTGTATGTTTATTGAACAAAGGATCTCAGACTCTAATATATTGCCTAACTTCTTAATCGGTGGATTATATAGAAGTATTGCTCTCGCCTTATGAATGAATGTTTATTTATGTAATTAAGAAATAGGAAAATAATGAGAAATAGATGATATTTTGTTACATTGTCCATAGTAGGTGCTGCTGGGTAAAGATGTATAGTCTCTTCTTCTTCTTTATATGTTCCATAAAATAGAAGAGGGAATCAAAAGTTTGTGCTCTGGTTACTGAGAGAATATAAAATTGCCATTGTTATCTGTGATCAGAGAATGCAGAAGAAAGATATAGCAAATTTTTGTATTTGAATAGATCACCTGTGAAGGTGAGTTCATTAAGTTACACATAAAGGCAATACGAGAATATCATTAAACAATGAGGTTAACTTAGTCATAATAAAATGGGGCTGGGCCCCTCCCCTCCAAATTCCCCCACTTTTGGAGGGGAGGGATAACATTTTGGACCAAATGAGGAAGTGGAGTAAAATCCCTCCTTCCCCCTCCAAATCCCTCCAATCAAATGGACCATAAATTTTGTCTAATTATTTGAAAGTAAGACATAAAACTTATTTGAATGAGAATGTTTTTACGTTGTGTTTTTATTTTCATCATTTGCTTAATATTAGTTTGTCTTAAAGTGTGCACTTTTGGTTCCAATTTGAAGTATGGTGTTACGCATTTATCTTTTTTCCTCCTTTTGTAGATGAAGGTTCTTTTGATGCTTTGAAAGCCTTGGCTGATCTATCTTTGATGATGCCAGTCGCAAACCCTGACCCCGGTATGACATTTAAGTCTTCACCAATAATTTTATGCAGTTTCATCTAACTATTCTTTGCTTCTTCCACACAAGGGTGATTTCAAAATAAATTAGATTCTTACAAGGACTATGTTGTTTACTGTTGTGCATTCTGAGTGTTGTCTCATGGTTTTCATGCTTTTCTCAGTCAGTTTTTTTATTAGCCCTTGGTTCCTTTCTATCATAGTTCGTTCATGCTGTATACTCTTGGATATTCATACAATTCTGATTTTCAATTTATAATTTGGCATTGTTTACAAATACCTATTTGCTTTCATCATATTTTGAGAGTTTAGATCCTCTAATATGCTGCTTTCTGTTTGTTTAGAGTCACTTGTGCGGGTGAGGGAAGAAAACCAAGGAGCTGTTGATGAGTCTAAAGTGGAAACCCATCATACGATTGTGAGTGATGAAAGCACTGCTTTAGGTAAATTAAGTTTGGTTTCTCCTGGTAATGAAGTTTTTGTTCCTCAAGAAAAGGGCACCTTCCACCTTGATGCTAGAAAAAGGAAGAGAAGACAAACACCTTCAATATTGAAAGTAAGTATCAACAAAATTCTAGCCTTTAGTTGTAGTTTTATTTTTATTTTTTTTATCTTTAGTCTTAAATTAGAGTTTTTGTCCCCCTTGCATTTGAGAAGCTTCAATTTGGTACCCCTAGTATCAATTTGAACAAGGCATCCCTTTGAATTGGCAAATTGGTGCTATTAAGTCCCTCTGTCTGTATGCTGCTGGCGTGGCACCCTTTCTGCTGACTGGATGCCTTCCTGGTCATCTTTTCCTCAGCAAAGATATCAACATGTCAGCAAAAAAGTTTTCAAATCGCCAAACACACTAAATCTAGAAGGACCAAAATGCAAACTTTTCAAAGTTGGACACATCAAAGTGCTATGAAGACTATTTTTTAATAGCTATTATTCCTCTATATCTCTTGTTTGATGTTTGACATTAAATATGCAAGTAAGCTTGGATCTTATTGCAGAATGACGAAACTCAAACCAGTTCTCATTTAAGTGGTTCACAGAAGATCAAGGTATGCAGCTATTCCTGCTAGTATATTAAGTACTCCCTCAGGTTCTTATTATAAGCTTCAAATAACTAATTTACAGATAATGAACCATTAGTTAAAAGCAATAAATAGGTAAGAAATATAGTTTTGTTTCCAAATATGCCCTCATAATAAATGAGAAAGATGATGAAAGAGGACGTGCGGGGAAATGTGATAAGAGAGAGTATGATAAAGGAGAGACCCAAAAAAAAAAAAAAGTCATTAAGGGCAAAATCAGAAAAAATGCAGTAAATGTTAAAAAAAAAATCCCAGCTCATAAAATGGAACACACTTATCTCTAAATTTGAAGCTTATAAATAAGACTGGAGGGAGTATGTCACAAGTGTTTGAAATTTTAGTCCATTTTTCAATGCAATTTAGTGTTTTGCTTGATTCCAATCTTGGAGATGGCTGTAATATTTTGGACAGAGGATGATAAGTGACAATCTTACAATGAGGACAAAGGTGCAACTCCCAGGAATGATGTCTTCAAGTAATGAGGACAAAGGAAGAAGGGATGATTCTCTGCTATTACCCATAGAAGTTTCATCTACAGATAAAGTTGGTTTAGCAAACAAAGGAAGGCATAGAAGAAAGATGGAGAAACCAAAACCAATGGTAGAACAAGATATAAAGGTGCCAGAAAGTATTTTTAGTGGTCAACATAGAAAACCCATTCTCCAGAATAGTGTATCAAGCCACAAGGTTGATTATCCATCATTTATGTAAATGGATGTTGACTTAATTTTTCAATCTGATTTCAAAGATTTTTTTTTTTCCATTATTGCAGGAAAAGCTTATTAATTGCCTGTCTTCACATCAAATACGGCGATGGTGCACTTTTGAGTGGTTTTACAGTGCTATAGATTACCCATGGTTTGCAAAAAGGGAGTTCATGGAGTACTTGGACCATGTTGGATTGGGGCATGTTCCTAGACTGACTCGTGTAGAGTGGGGAGTCATTAGGAGGTATTTTGTCCCAAGTGATCCTATTTGTATTTGCTGCTATACTATTGTCTCATTCTTGTTAAAGTCTCAAGGTATTTCATGTGTTTGTTACTCTTGTGCAGTTCTCTTGGCAGACCCCGGAGATTTCTGAGCAATTTTTGATAGAAGAAAAATCGAAGTTAAATCAATACCGGGACTCAGTTAGGGCACATTATGCAGAACTTCTTGCTGGTACCAGGGATTGCCTTCCAACTGATTTGGCCAGGCCTTTAATTGTTGGACAGCGTGTCATTGCCATTCACCCAAAGACGAGAGAGATTCATGATGGGAGTATACTAACTGTTGACAACTGTTCATGTCAGGTTCAATTTGACCAGCCTGAACTGGGGGTTGAATTAGTCATGGTATTCTTTGCTTAACTGCTTTAATTAATTGACAAAAGGATAACTAAATTCAAACCAATTAATTGATTTCTAGTTCCCATTCTTTTCCTTAATCTCTAGCTTATAAGTTATAAATAATTACTAATCCCTCAATATTATTTTCCTATTCTTCCTTAGTAGGTCTTCTGAAATAATTTTTAACTTTGACATTTTATGCATGGAAAAAAAATTCCAAAATTGGGCTTTTCTTGAGTTGCCTCAATTTAATTCTTTGCAAAGATGCCTGACTATTGACGTTTATGAATTGTGGAACCAGGTCAAAGGATGTAATATCTAGTGATGTTGAACAGACTGTAACCCTGAAGGAACTTATCTGTACTTGTTTTTTACGTCAGAATATTGGTCATGAATTGCATATGCGCTGAATACTTTTTTCCACAATGGCTCAAATTTCTTTAACATCTTGAAATGCTATCAATCCGTGTCAGAATATGTAAAAGATAGTGAATTTTATTGCTGCGATCTATCTAATGTTAATGAATTTTTTTTCATATTAAATGCATAATCACACATTGTAGAGGCTGTTTCACTGAATTTTCTCCACGAAACTTCTTTCTTCAACTTTTCCCCCTTGTTTTATTATTTCTAATTTTCAGTAATAAAAGAATAATTTCACGAAAGTATTTTTATATGGCAGGATATTGACTGCATGCCTCTGAATCCTTTTGAAAATATGCCAGCATCTCTGATAAGGCACAATGTGATTCCTGCTAAACTAGATGGCAACCTTATTGAGTTCCACCTTAATGGGAAACTGAAACGAGGAAAGATTATGGAGCACAGAATATTGTACCCCAGTGGGAACTTAGATCATGTTGATGCTCTTCATATAACTCCCTCAGCTCGTGGCGTCAACAATTTATTGAAACAGGTACAAATTTATATTCAGATGGAATGCAGATTCTGCTAGTTTTATTTTATGGTTTTAAATACTTTGAAGTGTTAGGTAATTTGCACTCTGGTTATTATTGTAAAGGAAGATCGGTTCTTTAATTATTGCTAAAAACTCTCACACCAAGACTCTTTATATCTTCTCTTCAAATGACTCCTTAGGGCGAACTAATTTTTTTTAACCAAATGGAGTTCAGTTGTATGAAAAGTTTGGTGAACTCCTTGTAAGGATATCTCCAATCTGAAATTTTCAGTAAAGCGTAGTTAACTGTGTTCAGAATGCAGAGATCTGCTCATACAGTAATTATGACTTTACGCATGCTTGGAGCTCAAAATAAGGATTTGTATATCCCGGTTTATAATTTGATTCTTTATGGCTAAATAGTGTGACTGATTCTTGAGATAAGAAACTTTGTCAATCTCTTTTAATCCCAATTCGTGGTAGTAGGCTTTTGCACCACGATATGCTACAACCTATTCTAATATATCAGAACTGACTACGCGAGAAACAAATTCCCCATATAGAATATTAGATGCCACATGGCAATTGGTGCAGTTCTTTGTGGCATTTGGTGCAGTTCTTTATATATTCCCATGCCGTGTGATCAGTCTAGGTGACTACAAGAGCCTGGCATGCCCACCTCATCTGTGTGGTCAGTCTACGTGGGCTGCCTGTCCTTTATCCTATTATTATTTTTTAAAAACTACCAACAGGGGTTGGGTCTAGCGGAAAGGGCTAGTCCCTCACAACGTGGCGAACCAAGATTCGAATCCCCGCTGGGAGAGGTACCCACATTCAGTGCCCGATAGTGTCTCGAATAGGATTGCTTCCAATAGGAGAATACCTATGCTTTAGCCAAAGGAGGAAAAAAAAAAAAAACTCTCATCTCTTGTGTTTTTATTTTACCGGGTGCCTTTTGCCTTAATTTGCCCTATTTTTATGACATTAATTAATATCATATATGCGTGCCTGCGTATTACTTTTCCATGATTGTTATTTTCACTATAGTACTTAATTTGTTATAGTAATGCATAAATTTATAATTTATGAACATCAAAGGGATTTCAGGTAGACTCATGCCATAAAAATCAAAGCTGTAAAGATTTTTAAGCTTATTTTTTGAGAAAACTAATGCTCCTTTTGGTTTGTGTTAGAGAATAAATTCCTTTTCCTTTATTTTTATTTTTTGGGTAATTTTTAATATATCTTTGTTGTCGTTATTAAATATTATTTTATTTTTCTTACTTTTTCAAAGTAGGGACACATGGGTTATTTTGCGTTATAGAAATCACTTCGTTCCATTTTCCATTCCATTTCATATATCAAAGGTGCCCTAACAATTTAATCCTTCCATTAAATGCCCCACACTGATTGTTCATGTCTGTCTGTCTGTTGTTTTCCTAGAAAATAGGTTCCTCTTACTCATAACTTTCCTGACCAAACATTCGTGTTTCTTAGAGAACCAAAATAATCAATCTCACATTATCAACAATGTCTTCTATTTTCATCTGACTAGATTGGTTTCTGTTGATGTTTCTTCCAGCTGTATTGTAGAATCAACTTACCAATTTTATTATGATGAGCTGTCGAAGTTTCCTGAGTAGTTTAATTTGTCCTTTTCTTTTCTTTCTATTTTCTCCAGGGCATTTCTTCAAGTTCCAAATTGCAAGCTAATGTTGCTTGCAATGAGATTGGTAACGCTCTACTGTCAGCAAATTCTAAAGCTTCTTTTCATGTAAATGTCCCATTCAAAGAAGCTGGCACAAATGCTGTTTTTGAGCTGATTCGTGCTCTTGACAAAAAGGTACTCCCTAATGAATAATTAGTCATCGTCTCTAAGCTTCTCTTTGTTGTGATACAGGAAAAATATCTGCCTTTCAAATATTCGTATCGAAGTAATGAGCTTATGGCTGTGAACTTATAGGAAATTGTGCTATCTGAACTGAAGAAAATGAATGATGAGGCATGTGAAAGACGGAAATATGGGGACCACTCTTTAAATGATTCAGAGCCATTTAAGAGACATTATGCTGCAGTATTGTTGCAGTTAAATGAAGTGAACGAGCAGGCATGAAATTCATGGAACAATTAGCACACGATAGCACAAAAATTTGACACACGATTGCACAGTTAATTTCATATAATCTTTCCTTCCTTCCGTCTTCACCTATCTGCAACTTCCTAAGTGGATTTCATTTGTGCAGGTCTCTTCTGCCTTGTTTTGCGTGAGACAGCATAACACATATCAGGGGAACTCTAATTTGTCACCAAGGCCCCTAGCTAATTCGGATGATCTTGGTGGTCAAACTAGCTCTTCGTATTGTTCAGCTTCTCACAACCAAAATTTTCAATCTCATATAGCTGAAATTATTGGAAGTTCTAAAAGAAGAGCCCGCAGAATGGTTGGTGCAGCTATGCAGGTATAGAAAGGGTGCCCACTTTGTGAATAATTACGGCATGTCTGCACTGCATATTTAAAGTGAACTCAACACTAAACTCCAGTCATCCCTATACAGCAGATATGTTTGGTCATGCCAAATGCTTGAAATTTTGTGGTGTTATTATTTTTATACACAAGATCTGCCTGCATCACTGATGAAACTGGATGGTTGGATCACCATCTGTGAAGATTCATTTGGATGATTGACTCACCAATCATTAAGTGAACATTTTTACACTAGTTTGTATACCGAATTACTGATGACCAGCTGCTAGATGATTCCCTTTCTATTTTCATTAATCCTTGAGGAGTCGTATCACTATCGTTTTTCCAATCTCTGACTACAGTTTCTCAACAATTATTGCAGGCGATGTTGTCTTTTACTAAGACAGAAGATAAGGGTGAAGGAATTGAAGAGTCAATTAATTTTATAAATAATCGGCTTTCAGTGGATGACCATGATGCTCTGTCCTCGCAATTCATGCCCACAGATTCTGTTCATGTCACTCTAGCTTCTCAGGATCAGATGACTGCAAGTAAATCGAAGCCTTTGTCAAATAATCATTCACAAGATCCTGAGCTAAACAGCTCATCTGATCAAAATGAAGTGAAAATTCCCTCAGAACTTATTTCTCAATGTCTAGCCACCTTGCTGATGATCCAGGCAAGTTCCGTGGCTCTTCAAATTGCTATCTGCTTGTATGTGGTCAATCTCCCCTTCATTGTTGCTATTTAATAAACATTGTATGTGGTCAATCTCAAGTCAATCTCCCCTCACAATTTCTATTGAAGATTCAATTATTTACTGTTGATAGTTTGGGGGGGGGGGGGGAGTTCACTTGTCGTGTGGTGTTATACTCTACTTAAATGCTGACTAGTCCAGACAGTGATTGTTACTGCATTAAGGAATATATGGTAGTACTATTGATTATCTTGTTGCAAATTCTTAACGTGCACGCTGACATATCTTTGTAAAACAAATTGCAGAAGTGTACAGAGCGACTTTTGCCACCTGCCGACGTTGTTCATATGTTAGATTCTGCAGTCACAGGTTTGCAGCCATTTTGTTCAAAGAATCTTCCAATATATGAAGAGATTAAGAAATGCATGGGCATAATCAGGAATCAGATATTGGCACTCATACCTACCCAAACTACCTAGCTTCTCCATATTTTTTTTTTATTAGGATAAAGTAGCATTCTAAACTTCAATTTTATTTATGATACATTTAGTATCCTGACAATATTTTCCTAGCACATCTAATATCTCTTGATGTTGTTTTCCAGTTACATCTAGCACCCTAATCTTATTTATGGGTTAGGATATTCGATACATTATAAATAAGATTAGGGTGCTGGAAGCACGAAAAACACATAATAATATCAGGGTGCTAAATGCACCATAAATAGAATTAAAATGTTGGATGCATTTGAAAAATGACACTAGAGTAGTGGGTGCTACTTTACTCTTTTTTTTTTTCTTTTTAATTTTTTTGGTAAGTCTTTATACTCTAAACTACAATTGCCTTGATTAACCACCCATGGGGTATCTATATATTTGATTAAAACACTTTAAATATCAGTGTTGTTGCTACATGAAAAGGTATGGCTACGCGAAACTATTGCTATATCTAGATAACTTCTTGTTCTCTCTAGGGAAAGAAACACACCTTGGTCTCTTCTCTTCCTAGAGATGTTTTATTCAAGGAATTAAAGATCGGTTTAGTCTAAAAAAGATAGCTCTTCAGTGTTTTGAATGACGTGGAAATATTTTCCCCATTTTTTCATTCTTTGGAAACAAGAAAAAAAGCGAATTGAAGGGAGTGAAAGAAAATCATTACAGATCAGATAGAAACGATTCGTTGAATCAACAGGCACAGGGCAAATGGCTTTGACTTTCTTCATCTAAAATATTATGTCCCTTTTTTTTTTTCCCACATGATGGAAAAGAAATTGTTTTCCAAGAGAAATACATATAAATAAGCACCTTTAGATTGCAAACTACCTCCTCCAATCTCTTCTATAAGATAATTTATGAGAAGAACACGTTCTTATTTATAAGAAATTCCAACAACTTATCTAAAATATGTATTATCATTTTTCATGTTGTTAATTAATATATATTAGTCAAATTCCATTAATTATCCATGTAAGCGGACCATTATTTATATGAGATATTTTGAAAATAATTTGCATTTTTAATCATATTTATTACATTTAAGCAATTTTTATCATCTATGTGATTCAATTATTTATATTACCTCTAGTTTTTAATATAAAAATTACTTATCTAATTTGAGTATATTAAAATAGTTAGTTAAATTAATTATAACAAATACTACCTCCAGTCCTAATTATAAGAGTCAGTAGACTAATTTGAGGAGATTAAGGAAGTAAGTTGAGTTAGTTATTTGTCTTAAATAAGTATTGTTTTTCCTAAAATATCCTTACTAATCAAGTGTATTGATTAGAACTATCATTATTAGAAGGGCCACTTTGAAAAAAAAATATATAAATATGAGAGACAAAGTGGATTGGGGTCTTATATTTAGAACCAAAATAAAAATCAAATAGGATCTTATATTAAGGACCGGAGGTAGTATAAGTTAATTTTTGTAAATTTTTTTTAATCATGATTGCTCTAATAAAAATCCTCTTAATATATGCAAACAATGGAGATATTTAGCTGAATAGATTATAAATTTGAAAAACTAAATCTAACCCCCAATCATAGGTAACATCTTATAACAAGTCCAGGGGGAAAAAAAAAACTCTTCCTATTCTTAATATATAATCTAATTGTTAGGTGAATTTTAGTCTTAAAAATAAGACTTATTTTTTATATTTATTAATATTTCCTAAACTACTCCTATAAATACCCTCTCAACCATAATCAAGTAAGTGAGGAATAAATGATATTAAGAAAAGTGATTATAATGTTTTAGAAAAAACATATCATATTTCTTATAATTAACTAACTTTTTTAATCTAATCAAATTAGTTAAATATGTCTTATATTAAAGATATGAAGAGTAGTAGTTGAGACATCTCACATAAGAATTAGAATTCACGGATTTTGAAGCAGTTATGTGATATCTCACGTAGCAATGGGTTTCTAATGTCGAATGTCTTAAGACTGAAATCAAAATCACATTCACATTTCTTTCCATTGTAAATACTCCTCCAGTCCTTAATATAAGACCCATTTAACTAATTTGATTAGATTAAGGAAGTTAGGTAAGTTAATTAATTATAAGAAAAGTGACACATTTTTCCTAAAACACCATAATCATCTTTCTTAATACTCCCTCTCTCTATTCTACTTGATTATAGTTGAGGGAATATCTATAAGGGTAATTTAGAGAAAATTGATAAATACGAGAAATAGGTCTTATATTTAGGACCAAAACCAACTCACTAACTGGGTCCTATATTAAGGACCGGAGGAGTATATCGTTTCTGAGACATAGCATCCTCCCCCGCAACTTGACTATCATGAGTTAATAATTTGTGAACAGTTACCATTACATTGCCAACACCACCAACCCCTGAAAGAATCTGACTAATAAACAGTTCATAATCTTATCTTGCAAATCATCTGGGAGGTTAATGTGCCAAAGCTGTATCTCTGACTCCGTGCGTTGCTTGTAATTCAGCTGCCCAAGTAAGGAACTCATGGCAAAAGTCCACTGACCTCAATCCTCCATCTGAAAACCCACAAGAAACATGGTATAAACCTCAAATTACAAGGCAACCATGTCTGATGTCCAAACCATGAAAGAGGATGTAGATTCAACATCCGCGGCTGTCAACCAGAATAAATCAGAACTTGAACTTCTTTTTATGCTTTTTGACGACAGCGAGTCCAGGATCCTCAACTTTCTGCAGCAAAACATATCGAGTTAGTTACTCGTAAGGAGTGACATGCAAATAACAAAGCATATCAAGCAAAGACCTTCCGCTTTTTGTTTCTCTTTTTGTCTTTTTTCTTCTTGCTCTTTCTCTTCTTACATTCCTTCACTTGAGAAAGTTCATTCTTCTCACCTTCTGAATCCTGCCAAGATCAGCAACAAATTAGAGAAAGTGACAAGAGCAGATGGCTGAACAAATATTCAGCCACCATTAGAAGTAATTTGCAATCAAGCACCCCACCTCAGTGTCAGTGTTACCAAAGGAGTCTACGTGCCGGACAATTCTTTCTGGATTCGAAGTACTGCTTGCTGTTAAAAACCAGGGGGGAAAAAAAAACTGTTGGTGACTATCGCACAAAATTAATCATTAGCCCCAAAAGTCATGTTTTGCAAATAGACAATCGAAATTCTCAAGTATATAAAAACTTACTTATAGTAATCTGATATGAGTCCTATCTAATATTCATTGATATTGAAGTTGGTTATGACGTGTCGAACATGAAAATTTTTAATTTCCCCAATATTATCCCTAAACATCTTACAATTTTCGAAATGATTCAGAAATTGAGGTTCATTTATCCACCACTATCAAAGAAAAACAGGCCAAGATCAACAGAAATCATATGTCTTCACGACCATCGAAGTGAATGAATTTCTTAAAACAGGACATGGATACAGAAAACAGTTTATGGCAAGCCGAGAAAGATATATGATAATCAGATATTGTACATTTGCTTCTCATTTATCATTCATATAACATGTACAATCACAATAACCAACCTTTATATACTATCATTAATAGTAATCTTATGTTCCTAATTCCCATCAGTATATGCCACTCAAGCAAATTGCACTCCATTAAATATCTTCATATTCACAACTTTTGCACATATCTTGGATGACTACTAATACCAAACGCACACACAACGAGCCTTCTAAGGAAACGGGGAGAAAGAAAACGAAAGTTGAAGGCCTACTAGCAAAAACAGTCTGTTTGGCATCATTGACAGCGACTTCAAGAAGATCAGGGTTAATAGACGCCAAACCATCAGGCTCCTTCAGTTTTCTCTCAAGAAACTTTGCTAATGCCGCCGCTTTGTTTGTGGTCACCGGTCCACCAGGATGAGCCAATCTTCATGGGCATATTAGAATTCGGCCAAAAAAAGTCAATATCAGAACAACATAATCTCAAGGTGCCAGAGAAAAGGGAATCAATAAACGACGAATCCGAACAACAGATTTTTTCCCCTTTTAAACAACAAAACTCGATCAACAGTTAATGTCAGCATAATTCTGAAGGGAAAAAAGGGAGAGGGTAGAAGAGGAAGATGAAAAAACCTGGGCTGAGAACTGGAAGTGCGAGATAGAGAAGGAAGAGGAGCGAATTTACTGCCTCTAAGCGCGCGTCTTTCATCTTCGCTTAGAGTTTCGATCTCTTTGACCATTCTCTGGCTCTCCCGGCCGCCCTCAACAATCCGACCAGAGCAGTGCCGGCTCGTTTGGGCAAATGAGTAAAATTAAATCCGAGTGAGGCCTTATACGGCACCGTTTCAGAGCAACGATCCCGTGGGGCGAGCAGATCTTATTTGCTCATATCTCCACCATTGAAGTAATCCAATGACTCCATACTGCCAATTTTATAAATAAATATAAATACTTCTCCTGGTAAGAAAATAGCCGTTGATAGCTTTAAATTTTAAAAAAAAAAATTTATTTTTTTTATATTTTGCCTTTTCCTTGAAATTAATGATGATAATAATGTCCAAGAATTAAAATCATTAATCATGACAACAACTTGTTGCAATTAAGGAGGGGTAAGCATTTTTTTTTGGGGATATACAAAAAAGGGGTAACACTAATTAAAAAAAAAAAAGTGCAACTGCCACATTTTTATCTTATATTTAGATTAAGTAGTGTTTTAAAACTTTATAATTAGTGCTGAAGGGAGCACATATCTATTAGATCTTTATAATTAAATCACAGATTTAGAAAAAAATGATTAAAATTAGTTAATGTTATTACTTTATAAAAAATCATCATAACTTTTAATATGACACTTCACAAAAATGTTGTCTTACATCCCCAGGTTAAGCATATTTTTTCAGAGATGTAGATAGGGGTATAACTATGAAAGACACGTTTGAGACGAAGATATTAATAACTAATGAATACTTTATAAATTTTGATATGTGTATTCTATTAAGAAACATGAAAAACTTGTTTAAAAAAGTCTCACAGATAGAAAGAGAGAATAAATAATAATAACAACAACAATAAGAGAGACTGTATTACATAAATATGCCCAATTGGTTGTTCTCCCTAAGACAAATAGTATAACTTCTTATGCAAGTGCATCACATGTATTGATGTATTTGTTATTTGGCAAGTGAGTAAAAATTAATTGCTTGGGGGTAGTTAAGAAATAATTGATATTGTTTTAGTGATGTATATTTAATAAAATAGACTACGAACGTGGTGCAAAAATGCAGAAAATAAATGTATAATAGAAAGGACATGATTTGATCCTTCAACCCCTCCAAAACACCAGTTAAAAGATTGATCATTCAATCCCTCCCCCCCCAACCCCCAAAAAAAAAAAAAACAAAAGAAAGGGCTCCTCATGGACTAATCTAGCAAATATTTTCAAGGAAAATGACAGTTAATACAGTTGTAGAATCTCCAGTTTCAAGCATGGCATGACTTAATGGACTAAATACAGCCAAGTGTTCCCCAAAATTGAAATCATATTCACAGACTCAGCCAATCATGCTTTTGAAATTATATTTGTACAATAACCCTGCCAAATGTTTGATAACTGTTTCTCATTCTCATTGGGCACTCTCAAAATAGTTAATTACAAAATTGAAAAGAGGAAAATGCCACATGCATCTCCTTTTGATCATAGGCCAACAAAACCAACCATATCATCAAGTTTAAAATCCTCTGTTCGAGTTCCATATCAGAAATGCATAAAAATTATTCTGTGACCAGCTTACACTTGTCCAGGAAAATCTCGTTGTACATTAAAACGAGGAAAATGAGAAGAAAATATTACATCACATTGTACCAGCTAAGGAGTCCCCTTCAATTTCAAAGACCGAAAGCTGATCATAAATAAACTATACAAAACACAAGAATTGCAATATTCTTCCTCCCATAAATTATCTTCCCCGATCTTCATAGTACGGTATGACGACAGATCTTAAGCTCCCATTTTTCTTGTATTTTGTAATGGGAGCACAATGACGACAACAAGGGCTGGGGCAGATAAATAAAAATGGGGCCTAACTCTCAAGTTACAGACCTCTTTCTCTAGCCTAAAATCATTAAAACAAGGCAATGAAGCAAGAGGCCGATCCAATAATATTTTTAATGGAAGAGATCAAATTACCAATAAAAAGAAAAAAGAGGGGCATTGGAAATCTTTTAAAATGGCTGAGCAGGTGGTGCTGCTTGAATATATGCACAAGTGTCATAACCACTAGACAATCCATTGTAATTCTTCATTTCCCATTCTATGCTAACCAAGGAAGAATTTGAAAATGTCACTCAGTGAAACAATGCCTTCTACTCGCTTGCTCCCGGCTTCCACCACAACTAAACGCCTAACACCTGAAATCCAAAGTTAACGCAGCAGATATTTCTCAGCTAAGTAATCCTAAAAATGAAGTAACTTGAATATATGGAGACATGAAGACAGAGCTCTTCTGCCTACAATGGAAAAAGTCACTGATCATCATCAATAAATTTTCTTTCTACAGAATCACCGCATATCCACCAAACAAGGACTCCGCAAAACTGGTTTCAGGATTTAAGCTAAGAAGTGAACAGATTTAATCTATCATTCCAACTTAATGTAGAGGCCCAATTCTTACACTTCCTTTGTTCAAAAAACTTCAAAAAAATTTTTTTCAAATATCATAGTAAACCTGTTAACTAATTTTTTTTTTAGTGCAATTGCGAGATAGATTCTCCATCCAGTGGGATAAGGTTTTATTGTTGTTGTACGAGAAATTCTCCAGTCCAAATGTGTAAAAACTACTACATATTTTTATGCACACCCTTCACGGGTAAGAACTGCTAGAAGAAAAGTCCATAACCGCTCCAGATTAAACGCTGTTCGTCCTGTAAATTGCCCAGGGGAGTGAAACTAACAATTTTAGAGACAAGGAATTAGGTAATATTCCACATTCATTAAATTATTTAGGGAGCTAAATTTTTCTTTAAAACCTATTGCAAGATGCAAATGAATGGAAGAACTGAGCTAACAGAGAAAGACAATGTCTCAAAACAAAAACGTAACATTGCATCCCATTTCATGAAAGAGCAGGGAAATAAACCTACCTGGATTTGCCAACCGTTCCATCACTTTATGCAGAGAATCAGATCGCAGGCACATCTGACATCGCTGACTCCTAAGATCATATGAATGGTACGAGTCCTGGCCCAACTGCAAAGCCTAGAGAAACACGCAAGAGAGTCTAAGAACCAAGAAGAAAATCACCAAATAAATGCCAATCTAATTTCAGCATGAATAACACAAAAAGGAAAAAAGACAGTATACTTGAAATTGCTATAGCATGCAACATTAAGCTACATGCTGAGGTTGACACTAATTTTACTATTTATAACATTTCAATGTGCAACTTTCTTTTCACTTTCTCATTAAAATCCTCAATTGGTAGCAATATATAATAAACAAGGGGCAAGAAGAGGGTGCATGTAAATCCTGAACTTAGTGCATTTAAATTGTATATTTTAAAAACAAACACAAAAAAGGAAAACTACTGAAAAATGTTTCAACTGCAAGAAAACTTGCCCCACTGTCTCAGAAGGTGACAACGTAAAAAGGGGCAAGGATATTGGGGGATGAAAAGTATCTTCATTCATTGGTATTACTACAATTTGGCTGCTTAAGTGAAGAAAGACATAAATCTCTTTGTTTCTACTAACTAATGAATGTGATGGGGAGTATCAAGAGGGATATTTTATGTCTATCAAGATTTTCCACTAACTAATGAATGTGATGGGGAACATCAAGAGGGATATTTTATGTCTATCAAGATTCTTCGATTTTATCTTATATTTAAATTAAGATATTTAGATCATCTTTTAAATATACTTAGTTGTATTAGATTTATATTTCTAGTCTCATCTCAGATTTTCTTTATATATTTGGATAAAGTTTATCATATCTATTAGAATTACAGTAGTTTAGATTAACTAGCATTAGGGCTCTATCAACAGCTTTCACTTTAGAACTTCTGATTATCGGAGAAAAAGAAAATTCAGTACTTTGCCATCTACATCTCCCTAAATTTCTTCTATTTCTCTTTCCTTTCTGCTTTCCCCTCCTCCTTTCCCTTCATTGTTTGATATCAGAATGTCAACCAACCAGTAGATCTCTCTAACAGTCATAATCAACAAATAGCCAAGAAAAAAAAAATCATTTTGTTCTTAATAACACGATGCGTCTAAACCTCACAAGACAGAAAAGGGTCAAAAAGAGGCACAATAGTAACACTCTTTTTTCATTTGTTTCGTAACTTTATAGTCCATATAAACTTCTAGTATGCAGAACATGTTCAGGGAAAATGAGAAACAAAACATACCTGATGAATAGTCATTTCATCAAAATTGACGTGTGTATAAGCTCTGTCCTTTGCCAAAGCTGTTATATCACTATCAAAATAAGGGGGAGGACAACTGTGAGAAACACCACAAGCCGCTGAAAAGAATTAACTGACAGGACAATTCATGCCTGAACTATAGATTGATTCTAAAGCAATTTCAAGGTTCAACCATTGCATCAAGGAGAATGATATTATGGATATAAAGCACAACTAACCTTCGACAATATATATCTAGTAATGAATCATTATCGTCCACTATTGGTATAGAACTTATTTGGGCTGCAAAAGTAAAGGACAAGATGTGGGTGTAAGAATAGCTATTTCATGATCAAGTAAACGTTTCTTATTCTTTTTGATGATTAGAATATGGAATTACCCTTGTTCCCAATTAACCTAACCACTCGTCTTCTCTTCTTGATAATTAATAACACACAAATCATTCTTCCCAAAGTAAAACAAAGTGTGCTCTGCCATTACCCGAATACCTCACAAGGTTGATATGATACCGATTTCACTATTCTTTCAATCAATAGAATCAATAGACTTTCTTCTTTATATGTTATTTTCAAAGTCAAGAGACGCAATCAAACCTTGAACTAATAAATTTAGGGCTGACGTGAGAGAAGCACTAGGTCTCAACATAGCTAAAGGTCGCCCATTTGATTCCCCAATTTTGGGCACCCACGTTCCCACTGGAACTGCACAAATCGGTAATTGGAGTATAGGCAAAGAACTAGAGCAATGCCTAAAATACCTGCAAATGCCTGAAATTTAATTTGGTAAGATTCAAGCAAGCTTCAGAAGAGCACAAAGAAACCTGTCTTCAAAGCTTACAATTAAGTATTCCAGAAAGTGAGGCCAGATGTAAAAGCTGTGGAAATGAACCATCTTCAGACTTCGAATGGATGATAGGAACTGTTGAAATCTCATTTTGCAGGATCTTTGTGGCAATATCTTTCAAATTATCAAATGGCCCTGCCTGCGAAACAAGTACATGGGGATTCTTAGTGCTCGCCATATTATTGGAAGCGAGCAGTATGACTTAATGACTTTACAAAGCCACCAATAACACTTACATGGATAAAACGTCTTGAAAGTGCTGTTCCATGTCCATTGCGTTGCCTGTTCAGATATAATTTTCCTTCTTTCCAAGAAGATATAGTATGCGTTTCAAGCTCTTCTTCTGTTAAATTGGATCCATGATTCTTAAGCTGTGAATAGGGCAAAAACATGGTTTCAACAGCATTGGTAAACATAAAAGGCATTGCCATGCATGCAGTTGGGGAGTCAATTGACTCAATTTCACAAGCAACCCTGTAACAAGAGACTATTACAGGCTCCATGAAAAGCAACCAATATATGGTTTCCATTACTTCACAACATCAACACTTCTAAACTAGCTGACACACTTTCATTCCTCTCAATTTAAATAAATTAATAAAACTAACGAATGACCCTATCTTATCTTTTTCTGACATAATTGGCCATGCCTTCAGGATTATCCACTTGCATTGTTATGACATCCTTGTTTCAACTTCCAGCTTCCAAAGCACAACAATAGGAATAATAATATTCTTCCTTCCAATAGATATGAAATGCATTAAAATTTCAGAAAATTTCTCCATAAATAGCTAATCATCTTAAAATCCACAGACCTCTCTTAAGATTAAAATAAAATCCAAAGGACTAAGAACGCCAACAAAGTGCCCCTTGCAGAAGTCCCAAAGAGGAGCCATAGGTATTCCCTGCAAATGGTCCGATTCAAAGCAGGCATATACATGTCAGAAACAGAAAAAAGTGAGATACTAGAAATTACAACACGGGCCATATGGAGCAATAAGGAGAAACTTCTTCATTACCCCAGCAAGACGCTTCAAGAAAGGCGAGTTTAGTACCAGAAGGTTCAAAATTACATTTTTTTCTCAATTCTTTTACAATAAAGGCATGTTAACACCTAGATATGAAATCCCTCCAAGTAAATTCCTATTGCAGGAAACAGATAAATACCTGCTCGTGTAATATATGAAATGCATGTTTCACTGGCAGATCAACATCCACCGCAATAACCTGTGACCAGGTGTCATTAAAATAGTCATTAACTAATTTGTGACATATAGTTTGACAATAAAGAAAATTCAAAGCTCAATATTATTAAACATCCAAACCTTGCCTGACTCAGGAAGCAATTCATAAGCTGTGTGCATCGACAAGAAAGCAGAAATACGCTGGCGGGAGGTCTGTACATAAGTGTCTGAGATTCTAGGCAATACCTCAGTCAATGTACCATCCGTTAACTGAACCTGCTGTATAGTTCAGCAATAAATCCTATTTAATAACTGAAAAATGATATTCAGATATAAATGAACAGGGATGAGCAGAAAATGGGGTTCTAAAATGCAACATAATGACAACGCCAGCTACAAGCCTTGTTCCACTAAGTGAGGTCAATTACATGGAAAACTTAATAGACCGATGGAAATCTAATTTACCAACTTTATCAGCCCTAAATAGGCATCAAAATAAACTCCGAATCCAAATATATCATGGCATTAAAATTTTTGTTTTTCAATTAGGTGAAAATTACACTACAAGCAAAATCCATTATTCAGCCACACAATTCACACAGCAGTCTCATTAATTAAAAAAAATCAGCACTCTTACCATACGCCGAATAGCCTCATTATCCACATCCATGCCAGAACCAGACGCTACTTGTGGAGTTGAAATAGGCATTTCATTAGGATTAGCCAAAAATACAGTGTTAACCACCCCATGTTCTCCAGATACATAAGGTTGATGCTCGTCATGTCGCCATTCTCTATCAACCAAAAACTTGTACTGCATTCAAATAATTAAATGCATCAACCACCAAAAATAGAGTCAAATATTTTCTCGTAAGCATTTTTTGGTATTTCACTAGTGAATGTTTATATTCAGATACTTCCAAGCTCAAACGTTAGGTAGAAACATGGCCGCTTAGACAACAATCATTGAAAAAGTTTCATAAAACTTTTTATTAAGCTTGAGATTAAGAAGCCGATCTTGCATCATAAACCTCGAAAAATAACATCAATCAGTATTTAAAAGTTATTTTTGAAATCTTGACTTGTGTGAGATGTCAAAAACTAATTCAACCCAAAAGCTTAAGTTGTTATGTGAACCATAAATAGTTCTAGTTTTCTCATAATCTCTACCACACTCCTTTCAAATAAATGTCCTTTAGAGCTTGAAGTGTAGACAAATCACAGACTCATTACACCTTGTGCTGAAACTTTTAAAATAGCAAATGGACTGGTAAGGATCAACTCTTGAACACGAGTCTTTGATATCATGTCAAGAACTAACTCAAATTAAGTTGTCAAACTCTGAAAACAGTGTCACTTTTCAGTAGTCACAGAAGACAATGTTTTGTTACGAGAAAAGGAATACTAGGCAAGAAATAAATAGCAAAAGAGAAGCTGAAAAGAGACAAGCATGTCAATGCTCCAGAGAAGGGAAAGACTAGAACAAAAATTACAGATAATGTGTTATTATTATGGGCAATAAATGCCTAACTTCTACGAGAGATTCCCGGTTGACCATTGCACAGAATTAGGATCCTGATGAAGGAATTAATTGAGATCACACATTCCAGATCTGGTCATGCTCAATATTCTCCTAAATCACGTTCATTTAATATCAAAGTCCATGAATAGTCTTATAATAATCTAACATAAGCCATGAATTACCAGATACTAAAATAACTACTAGTTTGAAGCCTAGAGCTCCCTACTCTTGGCTTCAAGCTTCGTTTATCCTTTTCTTCCTAGAATCCATTCGCTTACAGCCTTGCATTGTCCTTGCCATTGAAAGTGAAACGTCATCTTTCCTCTTCTCTTTCGGAAATGATTATACAATTTTTATTAGAAAGCAAATCATCAAAAGAAATCATACAAGGAATACAATATACATCAGAAGGAAAATCTTCCAAACCAAGTAGCGTAAATAAATAAAAGCACTACACACCAACATATAAGCTACTTATTTGCTGTACTTTGACATGCTAGTTCAAGAAAAACGTGTTCTTCACATCATGATCTGTTTCTCTCCATGCATGTCCTGCAGACTGCAGTGCCTCTGCTGGGAGTCCAAACTGCACCATTCAATTACGTGTTGATCCATCCTGGCCATTCAACCACAGACTTCATCCCGACTGTCCATTTCTTTCAAACCTTTCCTCCTCCTCATGCAGACTCCAGAATCTGCTTCTTCAATGGTTTCACAGGAAAAATTTGTGAAGTTAGCTGCGACTCCTCAGGCATGTTTCTGACAGTATCAAATACACCAAACCCAATCTAAGCAGATATCTAACAGTAGCAAATATTTTTTCATCTTAAATTATTAACTCACTTAAATTTCATATTCCAAATCCCCCTATTGTTAGTTTTAAGAGATGGGGGTTGCGTGATATGCTTAAATGGATGGGGAGAAATTTTGGATTGCTCAGCTTGAAAGGGTTCTTTTGTGCATGCTTCTACTCATGTGCCCACATTTTTCTCCATCTCAAACAACATGAGACACATATATCCATTTCAGATAAACATCCATTCCTTATTCAAGCACTATCTCACCCTCAAATTTATATTAGACTGAGAACTCTAATTTTGTTGGATATTTCTATATTTTTATGTTAATAGAGCAATTGCTGTTATATGAATTGCATCTGAAGATGTGCACAATCTTCGGGCAGTAAAAGGGGGCTTTAGAGAAGAGAATGTGGTTGTGGCCTTTCCCATCTTCAACTAACAAGAAGAACAGATCTTTCCCACGCAATCCAATGAGTGACAGAGTCTGGAGAAGAAAAATGGATGAGCAGGATGAAGTCTGCGACTGAAAAGCCAGGATGGAACAAAACTAAATGGCGCTGTTCGGACTCACAGTAGAGGTGCCATAGAGGCATGCCAAGCAGAGTACCACCTCGCCTTTCCATCAACAACAGATGAACAGGTAAAAAAGGGGATGAACAGGTGAAACGAGACCACAACATGTTTTGTAATTATTTTGAAGTGAAAATTCAAATCCAAGAATAAAATCACTTAATTCACAAATACATTGAATTCAAGGGAGATTTTTCCCCAACCTCATATGGAACCTTACGCTGATGAATATTTACTTCCAGAATGACTGACCTGATGATAACCAGGGGCCAAGCTATGAATGACTTGAAATACAGTCGGGCAACCCTCAACTGGCGACATACGTAGAAACTCAGACCACCTTTGCAACGAAAATTGAATGTAAGAAAACGAAATAAGCAAACTAACATGAATCCCACGAAAACCCTTAAATTAGGCTAAAATACAGCCAAATAAGAAGAAGATGAGCAGAAAATGAATTTAGTAGTAATTAATTATAGACGCACCGTGTGAATGAACCGCATAGATACACTTCTCTTCCACCATATGGCCACACGAACCGCATAGGAATTGGCAGTGTCCCGGCAACACTACCTGCGTTCTTTGAAAGATTCATTCTCGAACTGTATGGGTGCACTCCAGTCACGAACGTTGCTCTATGTATAACATCCAAGAACCAGACTTCATCATAGCATGTTAGCCTGTTAAATTCACGGATTATGAATGTCGCACTATTTCAAGGTAACATGAAGCCAAAAAACGAATCAACATCAAATCATCAAAATATATTTTAAAAAACACCAAAAATTCAAGCTTTATTTTCCAAAACAAATTATGGTCGTTGCTCTCCCCAAATCAAACACATCAACCAGATAACCGTCATTTTGCATGCAACCCACATGTCATTAGTACACAAAACCCTAAACCTGAACGAAAAAACCTACCAAATCGACGAAATATCTGTCAAAACCCAGCGGAGAAACTCTCACTAAAACATGATCGAAACCCTATGGAACCATTAAAAAATGGAGGTGAGCAACGATACTGTGAACTGCGGGAAAAATAAAATACGGACGATGTAATAATAAAATATAGGGGCAAATGGGGACCCGTAAGGAAAGGTGCTAATGCTATTTCCCCATCCTGATTCCTGATGTACACTGATAGAGAGAAAAAGGGATGACCGGTAGTAAAGCTAGCAAGAATTAGCAAAACTGAACCTTTTTATGTTGGCTGGAAGAAAACCGAACCTTTTTATTAAGGGTAAATATTTAATTTTAATTCTAATCTTATTTTACAAATACAATTTTACCCCTGATTTTGGGTTCAATTTTGCCCAGAATCAAGGATTAAATGGGTGTTTGGATAAAATCAAAACCATGGTTTCAGAAGTGTTTTTACGGTATACGAAGCAAATATGTAGAAGAGATTGCCTCGATTTGCAGAAAAGTGCTTCTGAAAAGTGATTTTAAGGGCATCCAAACACCCCCTAAATCATCTTACTAAAAGAAGATTAAAGTTCAGCTATTAGAATTGTAAATAGTTAAATAAGAATAGTTATGAGATCTCTTGCAACTCTTAATATATTTTTTGAATTTTTGAAACAAAAGTAACTAATATTAAATGAAAAAAGACAGTAAAATACTCTCAAAATTACTAAATGACAAATTAGAGTTGGTGAATTTCAAAATCCCAATTCAGGCTCGAGGTACCATTTTGAAATTTTCAAATCTTGTAAAATGACAATTTTGTCATTACTGTCAATAATTACTTCCACATAGCTATTGACTGTTCTATTTTAATTATTGACTATTTTTGTTTTCAAAGTTTCGGTGACTACTTTTATATAGCTATTGACTACGTAAGAATAGTAAATCGCATTACTAGAGTAGTCAGCAGCTTAATAAAAGTAGTCATCAAAGTTTAAAAGTAAATAGAGTCAATAGCTAAAAAAGAGTAGTCAGTACATAAGAAAGAGTAGTTATCGGATCTCCAGTAATCAGTCATCAGAGTTCCAATCACATGTCATCAGAGTTTAAAAATAAACGTAGTTAATAGCTAAAAAAGAGAAGTCAATACATAAAAAAAAGTAGTCACTGGAGCTCTTGTGACAGGTCACCAGAGCTCCGATGGTTGGTCGTTAGCAAGGTTGTTAGCGTTAGAGCTCTGGTGGGCGGAATTGCTGAGGCGGCAGTATTTTAAAAAAATAATAAAGGACATTTGTGTAATTTTACAAGATTTAAAAATTTCAAAAAAATACCTGGGGTTTGAATTGGGATTTTAAAATTCAAATACCCTCATTTGTGATTTAGTATTTTTGAGGATATTTTAGTGTTTTTTTCCCAATATTAAAACTAAGATAGCTAATAGCTCAATAAGAATAATTATTAAAACTCTAGAAGTAAAAAGCAGTTAATAGTTTAACAACAATAATTGATACTGTTATAGGATAGTTATCGAAACTCTAATAGCAAAAGTAATTAAAAGTTGTATAATTATTTTTATAAAAGTAGTTACCAAAATTTTGATGCCCAATTAGTGGAGCTGGTAATCGGCCGTTGGCGGCACTGGAAAGTCGACCAAGGTGGCTTTTTTTTTTGAATAGAAAACTGTATTCAATAAAGGGGAGAAATTACAACAAAGCAGAACCTAATCTGCTTCATCAACCTCCTCCTCTTGTTCTAGGGGTGGAGGTTGATCAAGCATACAAAAATTTCCTACCATCATGTGTGAAGACTTTGCTAGAAAGTCAGCTAACCCTAAATATTCCCTAGGAGTATGTTTAATCAAAACATGCCACTCCCTATGTAACAACAATCTGGCATCTTCAACTATGTCTCTGAAAGGATAAGAACTAGCGCAGCCTTTAGTAAGCAAGTTTAAGGCTTCTATACAATCAGAAAACAACGTAATGTCCCTATACCCTTTAACCCAACAGAGGTTTAGGCCATGTATGATTGCAATCAGTTCTGCCACAGCTGGGGGCACCTTGGTGAGTTTGCACTTAAAACCAATTAACCAATTATCGTTATTGTCCCTGATAACTCCCCCACATCCACTATCTCCACTAGGTAAGACCGAGCCATCCACTTCTAACTTGATGCTTTCACCATGGGGTCTACTACTCTCTTTATCTTGTCTTCGGAAATTGCCGTAGAACTCACAATTATTTATAAGATCCCGATCCCAACAGGCTCGAAAGAAACTGGCCTTGCTGTCTTGGAATGTATCAGTGCTTGTGTGGTCAAAAAGCTTTTTACATCTTGAGACCCATATGTCCCAACAAGTATAGCCAAATAAAGTAGCCCATTGTATCTTTTTGGTGTAGTTCTGTCCTGCTTCTACTTCCAAGTTCCATCGTAGCCACTCCATTCCGTCCAGGGTGTTGAACTGAGTCCAATCTTCAAGTGAGACCATAGATTGCCATCTATAGCATGCATTCTTGCAATCTCTAACTAGATGCATCATTGTTTCATCCTCCTCGCATCCAAAGGGACACAAAGCTGTAACTGACAATCTTCGTTGCCTCCTTAGATCAGCTGTATGTATCTTCTCATGAGCTATCAGCCAAAGGAAAGCTTTGATCTTCTCAGGACCCTGCCACTTCCAGATTTGTTTCCAAATGTTCTCGCCCTGTTGTCTGGTACCTGCAGAAAGAAAAAAGTAGGCCAATTTAACAGTAAAACTACCATCTGAAGATGGCCTCCAATAATATTTATCCTCTCCTCTCTCCTCACATGGTGGATGTGCACACATAAGTTTTCCAAGGACACTAGGGTTAAACCAATGGCTAAGTTTCCTCCAGTTCCACTCTCCCATTGGTGTCACATAGTCAATCACTTTTTCATTGATATTAATCAACCCTTCCCATCCTGGAATCAAATCAATCAGTGGACTATTCATCTCAGACCAGTTGTCAAACCAAAAGGATGTTGATTTACCATTACCTATCTTCTTCCCAAGTCCCTTGGTGAAACAATCCCAAAGTTGACATATTGCCCTCCATGTGAGAGATGCATTAGCTCTTTTCTTGATGATAGGCTCTGTCTGATCACCGCACTTATATTTTGCTCTTAGCACCTTAACCCATAAAGCATCTCTATCACAAAGGAGCTTCCAGCAAAGCTTCAAGATAAAGGCTTCGTTTTGCTTCGTCAGATTTTTAATCCCTAGACCACCATCTTTCCTTTCCATAGTAACTTGTTGCCAAGGCAGAAGATGGAGTTTCCTGTTGCCATCCTCATCCCCCCAGAGAAAGCTTCTACTTGTCCTCTCTAATTCATTAATCAATCTCTTCGGGAGTAGAATAGTTTGCATATGATAGGAGGGCAAAGCAGAAAGAACTGCCCTAATGAGAGTAGATCATCCTGCTAGATTTAACAATCTTCTTTTCCAACCTGCAAGTCTCTTATGGGATTTCTCCAAGATGGGGGCAAATAGCGAGTAGGAGGCTCTCCTGTGAATGAGAGGTATACCCAAATACTTACCCAAGTCCCCTGTAAGGCCAACTCCCATACTCTGACTAAGATCAAAAGCTCGTGAGAAGTGGACATTCCTGGAAAAACAGATTTTGGTTTTCTCTTATTCACTTTCTGACCGAGGCTATACAAAATCGGTCTAGACATTCGACCATGGCATCAATTTGAGCAGCTGAAGCCTCCCCAAAAAGAATCAAATCATCAGCAAAAAATAAGTGGGAAAGAGGGGGACTTTTGGAGTTGAGTTTTATCGGCACCCATGTCCCCTCATCAATAGCATCTTTAATGATGTGGCTAAGTCTCTCCATACAGAGCGTAAAGATGTAAGGGGAGATAGGATCACCCTGTCTGATACCCATTGATTAATTAGTGATTTTACATATTTTGGCCTTTCGGTATTTTAAAATTTAACAAATTTTTTGGTTATTTTCCTAATCACCACAAATCAAACTTAAAACAAAATATTTCTAAATTTTTTGTGATGAAATTAAGTATTTAAAAATTCTAATTAATTTTTTTTTTCATTTCCTATCAACACGACTAATTATTTGAAGGGAAAGAGAAAATAAAATACCTAAAAAATTATTAAATAATAAATTAATGTGGTTGAATTTCAAAATCTCAATTTAGACCCTTTGTATTATTTTGGAATTTTCAAATCTTGTGAAATTATGCAAATGCCCTTCACTATTTTTTTCTTTTAAAATATTGCTACCTCAGCACCCTTAGCCTGTTTCTGACCATTGAAACTTTGACGACATGTTACCGGAACACCAGTGACCAATTGCTAGAACTCCAGTTACTGTTTTTTCTTATGTACTGACTATTCTTTTTTAGCTATTGATTAACTTTGTTTTTAGAAATTCGATAACTACTCTTATTTAGCTACTGACTGCTTTAATATTGTCATTAACTACTTTCATTTTTTAAAATTTAGTGACTACTTTTATTTAGTTATTGACTAATCTAATTTTGCTATTGATTACTTTTGTTTTAAAAATTCAAAAATACAATAAATGTTTTTGGAGATCTAGTGACTACTTTTTGTTTACTTATTTGCTACTCTTATGTAGTTAATAATTATACAAAAGTAATTATCAGAACTTTGGAAACAAAAATAATTAATAATAAAACTAGATTAGACAATAGTTATATGAAAGTAGTCATTGGGAGTAAAAGCAATGCTGTCATGTCATGATTATTTTAAAATTCTAAATAGTATAAGAGGTATGATTTAAGATTTTAAAATTCATTACCCCTAATTGGTCACTTACCATTCTTTAGAGTATTTTAGTATATTTTTCTCTTATTTAAATTTGGAAAAAAAAGACATAAAAATGACACTTAAACTTAAAAATCCCAAAATGATCACTTAAATAAGCAAATCCTAATTTAGGTATAAGCGACCAATTCGAGATTTGCAAGTTTGTTGAAATGACCATGTTACCCTTTATCTTTTTTTATTGTTTTAATAAACCAAATACCCTTATTGGCCAACTGGTTGTCGGAGCTTCTACTGCTAGTTGGCAATCGGTTGCCGAAGCTCCAATGGCTGGCAACTTTTTTTTGTTGAAAATTTTTATAAT